AGCCTCATCAGGAAGATGTCCTTGATGATCTAGACCTTAACACTCTCTTCCATCCCTAATACTTTACATCTATTTTATCAAATAGTAACACAGAACAACTATCAGTGACCTAGAAATATGAAGACAAGGGCTCTAACATGCGCTGATTTAGGGCATATTATTTAATGCCACATGTTATTTAATCCTCTTATGTAATACAAAGGGTTTGTGAATTAGCTGACTCTTAAGGAAGTTCCAAATCATTCATTCAACATACAGAGTCCAGTACAAATAATGTCCCTTTTTATTATAAAATATTTTATTATAAAATCATAAGCATGTAATTCTGTAACATAACAATACCACACTCAAGCATACCACATGACATTGTAGGTGAAATGTTCAAATTAAAACTATAAATTATTATATTCATATTATTACCCTACCAACCACACTCAAGCTGGCCTTACTTCTGCCAGACCCTATATAATGAGCACCCACCTATGCTAAGTTTTGACCTACATGCTGAGGATATAGAGGTGAAGAAGACAAAGTATCTATCTATTTATCATGTATCTTAGTTGTCTCCCTTTAGTTCAGTGATTCTCGAACTTTACCCTGTGTCAGAATCACCTGGAAATCTTGGTAAAACAAGTTTCAGTTTGCACATGCATACACTCACACACACCACCACCACCACCCCTCCCGCCCAAGAGTTTGTGTTGTAGCAGGTTTGGAGTAGGACCCCAAATTTTGCATCCCCAAGATGTTCCCAACTGATGCTCATGCCACTGGTCCAGGAACAACACTTAAAGAACCTATGTTCTGGTGGAATGTCTCTTTCACTCCTGTATTGCCAGTGCCTAGAATACATATTTTGGGATAAAATAATAAATATAAGGCACTTTGTTAACAAAAGAAACCCAGCTCTTTCCTTGACTGATGCCATAATTTAGAAAGAAAATCACAATCCTACTAAAAGGTAGAGGAATTACTCTCATTAGAAAGGTATAGATACGGAGTGGTTTATATCCAAAGGAAAAGGAACTTCTGATCTATACGAAGGAGAAGGGAGATTAAGGAGAACTTTGTGGAGAACTGTACTTTGATCTATTCCTTGAAGGTCCCACGTACTTCTTTCAAAAATGCCAGTCATAACTAGAAATATTTTTAGTACCTCTCTATGGAACTTGTCCATTATTCTATGGTGAATCATTTTTAATACCACTGACTTTTTTTTAAGATTTTATTTATTTATTTTTAGAGAGGGAAGGGAGGGAGAAAGAGAGAGAGAGAAACATCAATGTGCGGTTGCTGGGGGCTGTGGCCTGCAACCCAGGCATGTGCCCTGACTGGGAATTGAACCTGCGACGCTTTGGTTCGCAGCCCATACCACTGACTTTTACAGAATGTTTGTATTCTGATATAAAGTTTGACATTTGGAAGTATTTAATATCATATTTTGGCCAAATGTGGTCAGAAAGTTAGTGATATGGCTGTATAACCCTGTTCTTGGTTGAAAACAAAAATACCCGAGAGTTAGGATACTGGTTCTCTAGTATGATTTATAAATGAGCCTTCAAACAATTTCAGTGTAGGAGTTCAAAAATCATTTTGAACAATGGAGGCACACATCCATTAAGTATACAGTTTCTGAAGGTGATTAGTTTCAAGGACAGCCTCCATTTGGCCATATGCCCTGATGTGTTTGTTTAAAAACCACTCTTGCCCTGGCTGGCGTAGCTCAGTGGATTGAGCACAGGCTGTGAACCAAAGTGTCACAGGTTCAATTCCCAGTCAGGGCACATACCTGGGCTGCAGCCCCCAGCAACCACACATTGATGTTTGTTTCTCTCTCTCTCTCTCTCTCTCTCTCTCTCTCTCTCTCTCTCTCTCTCTCTCCCTCCCTTCCCTCTCTAAAAAAAATAAATAAAATCTTTAAAAAACCACTCTTAGTACAGTTGATATTTTCATTTATTGAAAAAACAAATCCCTGTATGTGCAAGATACTCTACATTTTTCTTTAGAGTGTATGCCATGTTATAAACAGTTCAAGTTTAAACACTATGGGAACAAAGAAAGCAGTATAAACTGGAAATTCTTCCAGGGTAGATCTATGCTGTCACCAAGAAATATACACAGGTCTCTAAAAGCCTTTGATAAGTCTGGGCCACTCAGTTAATAATAATTAATAGTTTATGTGTCCTGATCATTGAGCTATGTGCTGGAGCACATTTGTCCTTTATGAAGGGAATCGTATCAAGCCATTCTTCTCGTTTGAAATAAGGGGACTAAAGAGGACATGAAATATCTATGGCCAAAAGCACAGCCTCATTGTCATGGCTTCTCCCCTGTGTGTCCCCAGAGTTCCTCAGCTACCCTTTGCGCCCAGGGTATCTGCAGTGTGGGATCAGCATGTACAAGCTGTAGTAGGTCAGCATTAAAGCAGCAATAATTTTTTCAAGAACATTCATCTCAATCTCATACTTTATAACAGAGTTTACTAAATTTAGTTTGGCCCGATACAAATGAAAAAAAAAAAAAAAGGCAGAAAGGGGTGGGTGGAGGTGGAAGAAGATATAATGGGAAAAATACAGTTCAAAATAAACTTTTATTTTATTTAAAAATGAAAAAAAAATAAACTATTTTTTTAAAAAGCAAACACTTCAAGTCCCTTTGTTTAGAGCAATGATTCTTAAAGTTTGGTCTACAGACCGGTGGCATCAGCACCACCTGGCAACTTGTTAGAAATACAAATTCTCTACTCTCACCTCAGAAATGCTGAATCACAACTGGGCAGGAGAGGAGAGGAGACCCAGCAACCTGGCTTAAGCCATGGCTCCAGGTGGCTCTGATGCATGCTGAAGTGTGAGGCCCACTGGGTTAGGTACTATCAGCAGCAATAGTAAAGAAACCACCAGGCAAGCGGTGCAAACTTTTATAAACTTTATAATTTGTTCTAATAGCCTATTACCATCCTCATAATTACTACATTTAACATATACACAATTACAAACATAACGGATGTCTAAGTTGTCCTCTACATAATGTGTGTAAAAAAGCCATGGCTTCTCTCTGTAAAGAGAAGGTAGGGAGAAATGACAAATGGACTTGTTTTTAGTTTTCCCAAATGATCTCTTTTTCAACTCCCTTCACCCCCGTCTGCCTCCAATGAAAGAATCAGTGGGAAAAATATTATTAGCAACCACTATTCTGTTTCTTTTGACAGAGCAGGAAGATTTTACCAGGTGATATAAATAAACCTCATTTGCATATATCAGTTATCACGTGTCTTGAGTAAATAACTATGCCCAAGCCTGTTTTAAAAAACAATGAAAACATTTCAAGATAAATGGAGGCTTTGTCTTATTTGCAGCAAAACCCTCGTGGTCATTTCAGATCTATGCATTAAGCTATGATACACACCCAAGATACATAACACAATTTCTGATGAAACTTAAAGTTTCATAATCCCTGCAAAAGGCTTATGTAGAATAAAATGTGGAATTAAGACTCACACTGCTGCCTCTGGAGCAGTGTGGGCCATAGACATCATCCATATACATAATTTTAATTTTCCCAAATAACCATATTTTAAAAAGTAAAATTAGTAATATTAATGTTAAATAATATTTTGTTTAAACTTACATATTAAAAATACCACTATCACTTCAACATGTAAGCAATATAAAATTAATGAGATTTTACATTTTTTATACTGTCTTCAAAACCTTGCAAGTATTTTACACGTATAGCACATCTAAACTAAAATGTTAAATTTTAACTGGAAATACTTGATTTTTGTTTAGAGTGAATAAAATTTACTCATTAAAGTAGCCAAGTAAATACTATACCCAAGTTGTTTCAAACATACTGAAAAGTTTCCCGGTAGCCTAACTAAATACTAGTTTTTATGTTTACATTAATAAAAATAAATAAAAGTTTCAATTTCTCAATCAAGCTATCCACATTCTAAGCACTCAATAGCTCCAAGTGGCTAGTGGCTATCACATGGGGCAGCACAGCTCTGGAGCTATGACAGACCACACCTGGGTGAAAATTCTGGCTTTGCCATTTAGTCTCTGCTTAGCACATTACCTTGCCGTCTCTAGCTTCAGTTCTGAAGCCTGTCTGTGAAATGGTGGGGGCGGGGAGAGACCACACACCACTATGTATACTCAACTTCTGCCATCAAAACTTGCAGCAGAATAGAAATAACTAGTTTGCCCTTCGTTTTATGGAAGAGGTGGTGAAAATGTTGCATCAGTTTTTAAAAATCAGAATCAATATAAATGCCTACAATATAATAAATTTCATTCATATTCTGCAGCCATAAATACTATTTATTAGTCACTAATATTACTATCGATTAATTAAAGAAAAAAGTAATATTATCAATAGCTGACTGCTGCCTGCGCACGGAGAAAAACTAGGAAGGGCCTGCTACTACTTATCACCCGCGGTTGTCCTAAGGATAGATGGGGGCGGGGACAGAACTGGCACGCTTTGTTCCGCGGCAGTAATATTTTCCTAAACTGGAGCTATTACTTTTGTATTTTAAGGAGCATTTCCCAAATCTACTTTGAAACTACACTTTCATAAAGGTTACAAGAAACTGCTCTGTGAAAATACTTCTGTCAGAGTTAAAAACAAGCTGCCGCAACCAGCTTTCGGTTGGCGGTTTCCCGCGCCGGCAAACGGAAGCGAAAGCGCATCTGACGTCAAGAGTAAGGGACGGCCTCTCCTTGTTACCATGGTGAAGCTTTGCGGCCATCTTGACTGAGGTTAGTGAGCCGGGAGGTTTTCCTGGCGGGGGCGTAGTGGCGCACCACTGAAGTCGGAGGAATAAGAGACGATAAAATAATCAAGCATCTAAGTAAGAAGCAGCTGACAGAATCACGTCAGAATGAGGGACAGAAAGAATTAGCTAACAGATTGGGATGTAAAAGTGCAGATTCCGCACATAGGCGGAACGTTTTAAGTAGGCTTTTCAGGTTTCTGCACGGAATTGGAAAGCCACTTCCGTTGCTCAGCGGAAGCGTGGGTCTGAGGAGGACGGCTCAGAGGAGTCCGCTCGCCGCTGTGTGCAAAACCGGAATCATGTCGAGCTTGGCGGTGAGAGACCCGGCAATGGATCGATCACTGCGTTCTGTGTTCGTGGGAAACATTCCGTATGAGGCAACGGAGGAGCAGTTAAAGGACATTTTTTCGGAGGTTGGTTCTGTTGTCAGTTTCCGGCTAGTATACGATAGAGAGACGGGAAAACCCAAGGGTTATGGCTTCTGCGAGTACCAGGACCAGGAGACCGCGCTTAGTGCCATGCGTAACCTGAATGGGCGGGAGTTCAGCGGCAGAGCGCTGCGGGTGGACAATGCTGCCAGTGAAAAGAACAAGGAGGAGTTAAAGAGCCTAGGGCCTGCAGCGCCCATCATTGACTCACCCTATGGGGACCCCATCGATCCGGAAGATGCCCCAGAGTCAATTACCAGAGCAGTCGCTAGTCTCCCTCCGGAGCAGATGTTTGAGCTGATGAAACAGATGAAGCTCTGTGTTCAAAACAGTCACCAGGAAGCTCGAAACATGTTACTTCAAAACCCTCAGCTGGCTTATGCGCTGTTGCAGGCACAAGTAGTGATGAGAATTATGGATCCAGAGATTGCTCTGAAAATTCTGCATCGCAAGATACATGTTACGCCACTGATCCCAGGCAAATCTCAGTCTGTCTCTGGCCCAGTTCCTGGCCCCGTCTCTGCCCCTGGCCCTGGCCCTGGCCCTGGCCCTGGGCTCTGCGCAGGACCTAATGTTTTGCTGAACCAACAGAATCCTTCAGCACCTCAGCCTCAGCATTTGGCTAGAAGACCTGTGAAAGACATTCCTCCACTGATGCAGACCCCTATCCAGGGTGGAATTCCGGCCCCGGGGCCCATACCAGCTGCCGTTCCTGGGCCTGGGCCTGGCTCCTTGACTCCTGGTGGAGCTATGCAGCCCCAAGTTGGAATGCCAGGTGTTGGTCCAGTGCCTTTAGAGCGGGGACAGTTGCAGATGTCGGATCCTAGAGCACCTATGCCTCGTGGACCCATGACTGCTGGTGGACTGCCTCCCCGAGGACTGTTAGGAGATGCTCCAAATGACCCACGTGGAGGGACTTTGCTTTCAGTCACTGGAGAAGTGGAGCCCAGAGGCTATCTTGGGCCACCTCATCAGGGTCCCCCCATGCACCATGCTCCTGGTCATGACAGCCGTGGCCCTTCCTCACATGAGATGAGGGGAGGGCCATTAGGCGATCCCAGAATGCTAATTGGAGAGCCAAGAGGACCCATGATAGATCAGAGGGGTCTACCTCTGGATGGTAGAGGTGGTAGAGACTCTCGAGGAATGGAGGCCAGAGCTATGGAAACTGAGGTCTTAGAGACACGAGTGATGGAAAGAAGAGGAATGGAGACCTGTGCGATGGAAACCAGAGGAATGGAAGCAAGAGGCATGGATGGAAGAGGAATGGAGATACGAGGCCCTGGCCCCAGTTCAAGAGGCCCTATGACCAGTGGAATGCAGGGTCCTGGTCCTATTATGGGGGCAAGTGGTCCTCAGGGACCCAGGCAGGTCCCAAGCATTTCAGGAGTGGGAAATCCTGGAGCAGGCATGCAGGGAGCGGGCATGCAAGGAGCGGGCATGCAAGGAGCGGGTATGCAGGGAGCGGGCATGCAAGGAGCAGGCATGCAGGGAGCGGGCATGCAAGGAGCAGGCATGCAGGGAGCGGGCATGCAAGGAGGAGGCATGCAGGGAGCTGGCATACAGGGAGCCGGCATGCAGGGGGCTGGCAAGCAAGGTGGAGGCCAGTCTAGCAGTTTTAGTCCTGGGCAGAGCCAAGTAACTCCACAGGATCAAGAAAAGGCAGCTTTGATCATGCAGGTTCTTCAACTGACTGCAGATCAAATTGCCATGCTGCCTCCTGAGCAAAGGCAGAGTATCCTGATTTTAAAGGAACAAATCCAGAAATCTACTGGAGCTTCTTGAAAGGTTTTAGAAATACTTGGCAGTAATCTCAGAAAGTTTTCTGTAGCATAGAGAATGGGTGCAAAAAGCTGACCTCTGCACCCCCACAGTTTAATGATTGGGGTTTCCCTCCTGCCAAACCCCAATCTCATTTCTTGGCTTTTTTTGTTGTTTGCTTTGCTTTGCTTTTTACTGTTAATTAGGGAGGGGGGAAAGGGGAAGGAGGAGTGGTTCTGTTCACTTTAATTTACTGTAAATACACGAAAATAACTCTGAAAATGATTATATCATACTAAGTAAGATTACAAGGAATATGCAGCAATATTAAAGTGTCTGCCATATGTTAACTTCTTAAAAAATAGTAAAACAATGTAAAATCTGCACATAAAGACTAAAAGATAACCTGTTAAAAATGGTAATGTACCAACATAGTTTAAAATTTTTGGTTGTATAAGAAAATAAAGAAGTTTACCTCCAAAATATAACATATTTTGGTAAGTCATTTGAAATACAGAATCCTGTTTGGGGGCAGTAGAATGTTGTACTAGGTTAAGCATTGTTTCAGTGTTCTGAAATTATTTTGAAATGTTACAGTTAACAGGATAAATCTACACTTAGGTATTGGAATTGTTTTTCTAAAGCTATGCATCTGGGTGTGATGTTTCACTTATCTTATCCATTGGAGGCCAGCAGTATTCTGGCCCAAACTGAACATGATGGTTTTACTGGAACAGTTCTAGGATTAACCAGGTTATTTAAATCTGCTCTGATGAGACTCAGTATCTCATTCCATACCTTCCTATGTCTCAGTAGTCTGTAAATTCTAAATCTGAATCTGAGTTATTCTCTCATATCCTTCCCTAAAATCGGTGTCTAGGACCCAGTATATCCGGATGAATTATACACCACATTGGGCTTTTCATAAAAAGTAAAGGGCTTCATGCATAAAGCTCTGCTTGGTAACTAGCCTTCATATACAGATGATACCCATTTGATAAGTCAGAACCAGAAGTTAAAAATCTTAGCCTCACCAACATTTAACATACCTTTAGTTTTCTTATATTAACATCTATTTGTCTATTACCATTTTATCAGAATAACTGAGGCCCAGGTAGGTAGGCACATTCTTGTAGCCTAAATTCTCTGCTCAGTTGGTGGTTATTGCTTTTTATTAAGTTTGTAAAGCTATTTAGTTTTAGTATACATGCCACTGAGACATAGTTAAAAATCAGTGGGAAGGTCAGGCTTAGCACATTTCCATCAGAGCTACTACCTAATTTATTTGTAAGCCTTGAGGATGTGGACATAAGAAAATGTGTATCATAGAGCACTACTTAACAAGCACAAACACCTGAATATCCAGGTGATCTTACTCTGAAGAAAAAAAAACCCAAATACCCTGTTACAGAGGGAAAAATCTCATTTAATACAAGGAGAGAACTAAGACTTGGAAATCGATTTCCCTTTGCATGGTTTTACAACTTAAATGGGTAATTTACAAAGTTTTCATCCCTGAGCTGTTGTTTCCAGCTACCTGTTTTACTTCTGTATTCATTGTTCATACTGTTAATTTTCCCATGTTTTCTATATGCTTCCCCTAGATTAGAGGGGATAACCTTTACTTGTATGATAGTTCTGGATAATACTCATTCACAGAGTTTGTTTGATTACTTCAAAATTACAGTTGCTTTATCCCAGAGCTTTCACTGAAGGACTCTAAACTGAAAACCATTAAATGTTAAGCTCTTTGTTGTAGTAAAATCTCTGCATTGTTTAATGCAGACTTAATAAAAAGAATGCACAATATCTGATGTTTATTTTTAATGAATGCATTCAAGTGATCTAGAGAGATCCATGGGGACATTTTCTTTTTTTAATAAAAAAGAAAAGAAATTGCAGGAATGGATGGGAATCCCTTTCTTAGATCCATTATCTATAGCTACACAATTGAAATAACTACAAAGACGTTATTCTATGGTTGGTATCAGTAGCAACATCTTGGTAGATACTCAGATATTAGGCTTCCTTTGGTTCACCACAGAGAACTCTGTAGTCCAGGATCATCCTGTAAGTATCTTCATAACTGCTGTATCCCAGGATCACCTTATGTTTCTTCATTACTGACAGCACTTTTGTATTATGATGTGCTATATTTACTTTTACTTTATATTCCCCATTCTCACTTCTAATAGAGCAGGAACTGTGAACACAGACTGTCACTCATTTCTGTATTTATTATAGCAAAAATCACAGGTGGGAACGAAGAACAAAACATATCAGAGTCCTAAGGGGAAAAAAAGTCCCATTAAGAGCACATACATTTCTCTCCAAGGGATTTAGATTGCACACAGGCCAAATGAGCTATAACAACTATTTACATTAGAAATTAAATTAGAAATAGATAGCAATCTCCTTTACTTTGGTAAACCTAATAAAATAGGTTATTTCTTCTAATTCACTGTCTGACTTTCCCAGTATTGGTGTAGAGTATAGAAACTTCATGTCAATAGTGAAGAATATAAGCAATGTGTGTCTGCTACAATTAGCTTGTTTAAATATTTTCTTTTTGGTTGGCTACAACCCTGGCATCCTGCATTATCCCATATATGGATAGACTACAAATGAAATCACAAATTCATAACAGTTAAAGATAGTGGCATAAAACTGATTTGCAAATACCTCTTGATCAGTACACGTGTCTCAGGAATAGGAAATGATGATTAGATTTAGTAAGTGCCCACTCACTAGTTCTTCCCCTCTTGTATTATTAACATCAAAATGTGTCTTACTGTCTGATGATGCCCTTGTTTCAGGACTAATGATTTTGGGGTATTCAGTAAGATATGCCAATGTGAATCTCAGGTGAAGGAAGCCAGATTCAAGTGAGATTGTATATGACTTTTCAACTAACTACACTTTTCAGAATTCTAATGGCAGAAAAACAAAGAAACAAAAAACTTGATAGCTTTTTTTCTTCACTATAAAGCTTTTCTTTTTCCATGCTGTGATGGGGCATTAACTAAACACATGGAACCTAATTTCCTACGATGTGTCGGGCATTTTTCTTAGGTCTGATGAGGTCTAAGGATAATTATCTGCAACAACCTACTGTGGCAGAGAGATTGAATTGTCAGTTATATCTCAGTCTTCTCAAAAGAATATGTCAGCATCTGCCACTTTATAGTGTCAGCTAATTTGGACAGACTTCTGGTTGGTGCTTGCTTTTCTCATCAGGCTCCTGGAAAGAATGCTCAATAGTCAAGAATTTCTTAAGGAAATTAATATATTTATTTAAAATGTTTTAATATTAAATATTACTCATGGTATAATATAGGATATTAGTGTATTATGCAATATGCTAATATATTTCATATATATATATTTCAGGTCTTAATCAGATTTTTAAATATTTTTATGTGCTTTTTTTCATCCTGAAACAAAGTTGATTCCATTGGTTGGAAATTCAGTCTCACAATTTTTCATATCACTGATTTTTTTTTCATGAGATATGAGACATTTTTTTCATGAGATATGAGATATTTTTTCATGAGACAAGAAGAAACTAGCATGTATCTTCTTGTTCTTTTTCCACCAAGATATACATAATTTGTCACTAAACGGCATGTATTTAATCAAAACTGACATTGAGATAGCAAGGTAAAAAAATACATAAAATAGTAAAGTATTTGCCTAGAAAAATAAATGATGTTCTGATTAATAACTTTAAAACCAGGGTTTGATTTAGATCCCAAAGGTAGGTTAGTATAATGAAGAAATTGAATAAAATATACCACATTCTCAATCATAATTGATTATATGATTCAGTATATATAAAATGCAGAATCATTTGAAATATCATTTGAAAATATAAAATCATTTGAAATCAAACTCATGCATCACAAAATGGTGCCTTTAAAAATTGGTCAATTGAAAAAATCATATCTACTTGATTACTTATGTGTGATCTTATTGCAAAAATAGAATGGATAATCTCTTGGGCATCAAGAAGTGAAACCAGCAATTCCACCCCAAATTATTTTCTCTAATTAGCTGTTTTCATCAGAATTTTATCTTACTAAATTACTGATCTCTTACATAATTTACTGTGAATACCTGTGAGCCAATTAGTAGGACCTGTAAGCCTTGGATTGTTCCCCTACCTCACCTTGCTGTCTGATTATGAAGCAACTTGTACCTATGTAGGAATCTGAATGTATTCAACCCCGGATAGTCCACAGAAGAAGATACAACTTTTATAACTTCTGTTCCTGGTTTTCTTTATCTTAAGCAGGGGTGTCCAACCTTTTGGTGTCTCTGGGCCACACTGGAAGAAGAGTTGTCTTGGACCACATATTAAATACGTTGTGACATATAATCACAAAGAAATTTCATAATGTTTTAAGTAAATTTACAATTTTGTGTTGGGCTGCATTCATAGCCATTCTGGGCTGCATGAGGTCTGCGGGCCGCAGGTTGGACACTCCTGTAAAAGGTTTACTTTAATAACATTCAAAACATGAGATATCAAAAATTGTATGTTTGATTAATAATGTGATGCAAAGGCCTATATTGGCCTTGCTTGGTACATTAATATTCCCAAAATTATATTCTATATCCCAAATATTCTTGTTTATATGTTAATATAGCAACATAACTAAGAAGGACTAAGAACATCGAGAGACATAATATGTCAATAAATACATTTCCTATTTTTAGGTAATACTATATCCAAAATGATTTCATCTTTGTACACTTAGCAGAGAAAAAGATCCTCATCTATTGTAAGAAACACAATTTACATTACTGAAATCTAAAATCACTTTATCCCCCTGCACCCCCAGGTGAGTTTTGTCAAAAGTTTTATCCTGTAGAAGCTTTAAATATCTTTGGACCATGAACCACAAATCTGTAGCCTGTGCATCAATGAAGTCTGCAGGTATGTGTTGTTGGATGAGCCCGAGTTTCTCAAAATTTTTGAATCTGAATGGATTTAGGTGCAGCACATATTCTCCAATTTGGCCACAGGCTCAGCCTCTCCCTGTGTCTTATATTAGGTTTGATTCACATGATTACTTGCCAGTCCTTGTAATATATTGAATTTACAAATCCTGCTTTTATACTATAAAAACACAGCTATTAGATTCAATTGACATTTTGAAAAATGTGAACTAGAAAAATGGTCAAGGAACTGATTCAGCAGTATTTTTCTGCAAAATCAACAAACCAAACAAAAACCCAGAACAAACTAAAACAAAAAGAGATATATGGCATTTTAAAAAATGTATAGCTTTCCATGACATGTACCAGGCAAAAGAAAGTCCTGGTTTGCTAATCCAAATAACTACCTTTCTCCCACAAATCATCTGCATGACTAATAAATATTAAACCAAAATGTTAACATTTTACTATTCAAAAATAGATTTATAAAATGAGAAATATGCCCTGGCTGGCGTAGCTCAGTGGATTGAGCGCGGGCTGGAAACCAAAGTGTCCCAGGTTCGATTCCCAGCCAGGGTACATTCCTGGGTTGCAGGCCATAACCCCCAGCAACCACACATTGATGTTTCTCTCTCTATCTCCCTCCCTTCCCTCTCTAAAAAAAAAATAAATAAATAAAATATTTAAAAAAAAATAAAATAAAATGAGAAATATATGTCATATATAAGCAATATTAAATGCTAACAGCTCTAGAATTGATGTGTAAATTCTATACATATATGTCAATTATAGATATATATTATACATAGTAGAACAGAGTAATTTTTATCTGTTATTAACTAAAGACCTAAAAATAAAGAGCCACTATATAATTTCCACATAGCAATTTGTAGAAATACTGATTTGTCCACATACTGATGCGAAAAAATAAATAACCTTAGTCAGATCATGTCATTCTCTTGTTTAAAACCCTTCATGGCTTACATTGCTCCTGGAATAAAATTCCAAATCCTCACCATGTCCTATAAAACCCTAAGTAATTTAGATCTTCCCTATACTAATCTCACACCTTACCATTGGCCCGCTGACTCCTGGCTAGCTACAATTACTTTGGGCCTAGCTTCATTTTCTTGAATTTGACAAATCTCATTTTCACCCCTCGGCTTTGTCCTGGACAGTTTCCTTTGCTCTTACCCCACTCTTTCCCCAGGTTTTGAATGGCTAGTTGATCTCTACTCAGGTTGCAACGTTTATCACTTACTCAAAGAGGCTTTCCTTGAACACCTTGTTTAAAATGGTCTCCCCATGCTCTCTCATTTTTGTTTGTTTTTAATTAGTAGCTCTCTTACATGAGCACAGCTTAAACATTAATCCATGCTTTTGCAAAGTATGTTATATGCACAAGACAAACTTGATGACTGGCATTAATGAGTTAATCTTTATTATGCCCAAGTCACATTTATTATGTCAATTTTGTTCGTTCCCAGATATATGTTGTGTACTTATTACTATAATGTGCAGATTTTTGTATAGCCATGAGTATATAGATGTAAATAGTATGTGTGTATATAGGACATATGATTACAAAAAAAGGTTATTTCTAAGAAAACCATGCTGACAGTATATTGGTCATGTCAACTGTATTTGTAAATCAGTTTATACCAACCAATTAGTGCAGTATACCAACTGCACTAATTTTTCTAATGCATGCAGTGATAGACATGTATTAACATGAGCATGGAAAAGGGGTTATATCTATGAAAACTATGTTGAATGTTTTGAAAACACTGACAAAGTTTGCGTGGCTAAAAAGGAATAGCTGTTAAGTTTCGTAGGAACAAGATAATAGAAAAAATATTCAACAGCAA